GGCAGCCCACAGAATGGGAAAAGATATTCACTAACCCCACATCTGACAGAGGGCTGATCTCCAACGTTTACAAAGAACTCAAGAAGCAAGGCTCCAAAACACCAAAGGATACAATTAAAAAGTGGGGGACTGAACTAAATAGAGAATTCTCAACAGAGGAGTCTAAAATGGCTGAGAGGCACTTGAGAAAGTGCTCATCATTCTTAGCCATCCGGGAAATGCAAATCAAAGCAACTCTTAGATACCATCTCACTCCTGTCAGAATGGCTAAAAATCAAAAACACCAAGGACAATTTATGCTGGAGAGGTTGTGGTGAAAGGGGAACACTCCTCCACTGCTCGTGGGAGTGCCAACTCGTACAGCCACTTTGGAAATCAGTATGGAGACCCAGCAACTCCACTCTTAGGCATATATCCAAAAGATGCCCATTCACACAACAAGGATGTCTGTTCCACTATGTTCATAGCAACATTATTTGTAATAACCAGAATTTGGAAGCAATCTAGATGCCCCTCAACCAAAGAGTGGATAGAGAAAATGTAGTACATTTACACAATGGAGTACTATTCAGCAGAAAAAAAAACAATGGAATCCTGACATTGGCAGGCAAATGGATGGCACTAGAAGAAATCATCCTGAGCGAGGTAACCAGTCACAAAAAGAGAAACATGGCATGTACTCTCTCATATATGGATTTTATACATAGATCTGGGGAGTGCCAGCCTACAGTCCCATGGCCAGCAAGTCTGGGAAACAGAACCTTCATTCAGTGGGTGATGGAAGCAGAGGCAGACTCCCACGGCTAAGCACTGAGCTGAATTCAAGAAATCCAGTGACAGAGAGAGAGGACTGATGACCAAAGGGATTAAGACTGGGTTGATTTAACCCCCAGAAACAGCTGACCTGACAAGTGTTAGCTCTTGAATCCCAGACTAGTGCCTGGGAATCCAGCATGGGACTGATCAAGATCCCCTGAATGTGGGTGTCAGTAAGGAGGCCTAGGTAATCTATTGAGCCTTGGGTAGTAGATCAGTATTTATCCCAGGTATACAAATGGACTTTGGGCTCCCATCCAACAATGAAAGGTGCACTCTCACCCGGAACTCTTGGGGGAAGGTCTATGCCCTGCCCTGGATGAAATGACAGACTATGGACACCCCCATGGACGGCATCACCCTCCCTGGGGAAATGAGGGGATATTGGGGGGTTTGTGGGAGGGCAAGGGAGGAGGGGAGGGAAACAAGAGGGACCTGGAATTGACATGTGAAGCAGCCTTGTTTCTAATTTAAAAATATATATATATATAAAGAATATATTGGTTGTTTACATTGTATTTAGTTTATACATTAAGCTGTAAATATATGATCAGAGAAAAAGATTGCATAATATTTGTATATATTAAAATTATGAGAATTCATCTACTATATTAAATTATATTTTTGTAGTACACATGAAGATAGATACTAAAAATATATAACTACAAAAGAGGTAGCAAAAGTCAGTGAGTATGCATTGGTAGATTTGACTCTGAGATAATTTAGAGCTATGAAATTACTCTTCCCTTGGGAGAGAGTCCCTCTCTGCCAATTCCTCTTTTGGCACCAGATTATTCTCACCCATAGGTCAGGATTCCCTAAGGAACTTCAATGTTGCTCTATTCCATTTTTATATTTTCTCATAGCTCTTACTCTATTCTGGATCTTACTGACTTGTCAGATAGAGGTTTATTTGTAGCAAATGCATTTCTGGGAATCTCTGCTTTTTCCCCTTGCATTTCTGTGTTAAAATGCAGTGCCTTTTGGTGAATATGTGACTATTTACTCTGATTACATAAACAACAAATATAACTTTCACAACCATCCCCTTCTTTATTGATTTAGTTTTTTCTTACACTACCCTTTTTTGTGTGTTTATCAGAAACAAATATCAACAGTTCTTGATAAGCACTTGATGAATAGGTTTATAAATGTACTGTTTGCTAAGAGAGATAAATCTTTATGGTTGTAAGACATACACAATAGTCCATAATCTTTTAGCAATGTCTGTTCAACTGGTGTGTATGGAAATCTAAGATGTAAATGGCCATCTACATTTGGTTAAATGAATTAAGATAGTATAGAGAAAAAGGAAAGATTTGTTTTTGAAGTGCCAGAATGCCAAACAAAGTAAGGATATGTGGTTGATGACCCATTTACCTAAACCTGAAACATGAGAAACAACACTCATACCCATTTTTAGGGTATTGGATAAAATAAATAACATGAAGCCCAGTCTGGAGAGATGGCTCAGTGGTTACGAGCACTGACTGCTCTTCCAGAGGACCCAGGTTCAAACCCTAGCACCTACATGGAGCTCACAACTGCCTGTAACTCCAAGATCTGGCACTCACACACAAAACATACATGCACATAAAATGAACAGATTAATTTTTTTAAAATGAGACCCAAAATGAAGAAAAGCATAAAAATTCTATAAGCTTATTCATTCACTATCAAAAATGTCTGGAGGGGACATACAGTTTAGTGTGAAGCTGTACCTAAGTTATTGTAAATACTACCTCATTTTACATGAAGGACTTGAGTTTGTTGTCATATGATGTAATAATTTAGCTGGTAGAAATAAGGTAAACACAGAGATCAGGCCTCCCTGAATAGGGAGAAACGTTAACTGACAATATAATGTCCTCTATTCCATGTGTCATCCATTTGTGTTTGTGCTAATTTAGTATTAATTTTTATTTTTGTTATATATAATATATTATTTATTATCTATTATTTATTTATGTACATTTCTACTTTAAATTGTTAATCCCTTGATGTATTGTAATTTGTATCTTATTGGAAAAGGCTTTTATGTCTGTCATTTTCTGAAAACCTAAATTACAGTATTTTATCTACTGCTTTTCATATCTCTAACACATGCTTTCCATTTTATTGTTTATCTTTTCTTCTCCCATTTCCCATTCAGCTCCCTATTTAAATATCGATACCCTTGTATATTTCCCTAACAAATTTTACACGCATTTTTCTCCAAACCTTTTAGGGAACAAGTGAACTGCTCTAGTGTGGCTGACAAGGTACTGCTATATAACTATTGTAATTGTTCCTATAGTCAGCTTTCTGTGAACATAAATGCAAGGGCAGAGAACTTACATGAAATAAAATAAGTTAAAAAAATAAGAATAAAGGAAGAAAAAGTGCAAAGTGTAGGACACATACACTATAAAGGACATCAAAAACTTAGCAAAAGTAAAAGATGTGAGTCAGCATTCCACAATGATACTGTCACAAACTCATAAGTCCTCAATATTGGAAAACAAAGTTGATGAGGTAGCTGAAATGCCAGAGGAATCTTCTGAGTTTTACTTCTAAAAATGATTAGTGGCTAAAATAAGCAGATAAGGCATTCACTTAAGTATCTATACAAGGAAGCTACACAGTCAGTTCAAGACCTAGGCCAGAAAATTCCCAAAGTGGACGGAAAAAGAAACTTGGAGGAAAACTCAAGACCACGATGGAAAAATTCAGCAAGTTGTCTTGAGATACAGGAAAAGAACCAAACAGAAATTATGGAAATGAAGGAATCGGTAAATTGAAATAAAATAAGAAGAAGAGCAGAAAGCATCTTTAAGGTGGGGTATAATACATGTGACATAAATTAGAAAGGAGAGATGAAGTGTTCAAGTGGGAAGGGTGGGGTGGGAAGATGGGGGGATGACATAAGGAAGCTTGTTACATTACATGCTGATTGAAAAATAAGACAAAGTTTTACAGGGAGGACTTTGGAAATAAGACTGGAAAGGTTTGTAGCAATTAAATATTTAGTTCTTGAATGCAAAGCCAAGGACCTTTGGCTTCATCCAGGGAGCAATGAAATACATTATTAAGAACTTGAAGCATCTCTCTTCGATGCCATTAATTAAAGAGATACAGACATTGAAAAGTGAATGATGACTCCAAGGGCCTTCTTCTTCTCTATTTTCTTGATCTTAAGATATCTGTATGTCAAAGTCTTAACCCTAGGCTAGATGACACTAAAATGTGGAGCCTTGGGAGGTAATCTGGTTTAGATGAGCTTGAGATCTTGTGCTCCTATGTTGATGATAAGTTTTTTTTACAAAGAAAGAGGACATCAGAGGTAGCCCCCAGGGTCACAAAGAAGACAATAATACACAAACATGTCCCAAAAACTGGCAGTGTCTTGGTCTCAGTGTCTCTTGGACTATGCATGAGATAGAAATATGTGCTGGAGAATCTACTCTGTTTCTGATGTTTTTGTTATATAGTCCCTGTGCATAATTGTTCCGTGTATACAAGGATGCTATGCTTTTCCTTTTCCTCATTGCCATACCAGATAACCACAGAAATTATTGTAGGGGATGCTCCTCCACACACTTCTGTCAGATATCTGTGCATTGGTGTTTGTTGGGGAGAGAATGGAAGAGAAACTAAGAGTGTTCTGCCATCTCTGGCAGGCCTGAAGAACAACGGTAGGATTCCTGAGATGTATGACCTCAGGTTAATGTGTATCTTTTTATGTAAAATGATTCCGTTTAATTGGGGGCAGGCTTATATTTGAACTAGCGCAACGTTTAAGTTGGAATTTGAGATGTGGCTGAGAAGAAAGATCTCCACACACTGTATTTGCTATAGAAGTGAAATTCTAGTTAAAAAAACAAACTGTTTGGGTAGAGCACACTCCTGGTGGGTGAATCCTTGCAAAAGTGCAGTGTAATATAATTTTCCATCGACTGAAGAATAACAAAGTAGCATTCTGTCAGGGAAGTGGAAATGCACGAGGGATAATGGTGGTGGCTTGGGTTTTATTTGCCTTTCCAATAAGAACTATTCCTATGAACTTTAGCAATTGCTTTTGTCTCTGCACCTTTTATCATGACCGATTATAAATAATTAACATTAGAGGTACCACTTTGGGTCATAGTAAGTTTCAAGAGAAAGTTCATCATTATCAAGCAAGAATCATACATAGGCAGACATGGTAAGAAGAAAATGGTTTTATTGTGATGGGGGCTTAGAAGGAGGGGAATTTGACTAGGAAGAGATGGCTTAATGAAGAGATAAAGGTATCTAGTTAGCAGCGATAGTCTTCTGAATCCAGCTCACATAGTTGCAGACCTTGGTGTACACACCAGGTTTTCCTTTCACTGCACAGCCATAACCCCAGGAGACAATGCCCTGGAGCTGTCCATTGCAGGCCACGGGGCCACCAGAGTCACCCTGAATAACAAAGAGAACATAGTAAGAGGAGCTCTCACATATGTCTAAATAAGAGAATGGACTCCAAGGTTTTACTCCATTATTTTGGGCCGTTTCCATAGGTTCTCCATGAAATAACTTCACTCTGCCCAGAACCTTAAGCTTCAGTACCTGTAGTATTGCAATATTCCATAACTTCCTTTCTTACAGACCCACCTCTTTCTGACAACGTGAGAACTGGGAGAATGCTTTCTCAAAAGCTCTGCCCTTTTTCAAAGTTAAAAGTCTACAATAAAACTTTTGAGGTACACAGTCAGATGGAATGTTTATAGTAATTTCTGTTTATCATTTTTTATGTGTAGTCCTAACCATCAATGTCATAGAGACCGTTTATAATTTATTCCAAATCTGTTCTTCACCCCTCATCAACAGTCTCGGAAATGCTGTTAATATTCTTTTTTTTTTCTTCAGAAAAGCAGGAGTACGAGAAGAGGGGCAATGCGTAAGGAGGAGAATAACAAATCAACTCACCTGGCAGGAGTCCTTTCCACCCTCCAGATAGCCCAGGCAGAACATGTTGCTGGTGATCTGGCCTGGGTAGGCGCTTTTACAAGAGCTGTCAGAGAGGATGGGGGCATCCAGACACTGCAGGAGCGAGGGATAATTGGCTGTCAAGCACAAGAATGAAAAGGGGGGTTACCCTGCGATCTTGTAAACATCATTTCCAACCCTCTTCCTCTTTCTCAGCACGTCCTCTGCCTTTCAATTTCCCATGGCGCATAATTTGGAAGAACATTTTCCTGAGAAGGTTTGCTACATAATTTTATTCAACTCACATCAGTGAAAAAAAATCTGTTGCAAACATTGCCGCTCACAGCTTTCAACGGGTGTGTCCTTAAAGGAACACCAAAATATTTACCCTCTGTCTGCTTACACCACCCATCTCAGTTAAACACTCTGAGTTTCTCTAATAGTCCATTATTTGTTGTGTCTACCGTATGGTCTCAGCACAAGCATTTTTTCTCTCTGATTTGCGCATCTTAATACTGCTTGTATCGAAATCCATCCTCTGAGAACCGTCCCTTGAGTGAGAATTTGGGCCACCTTGCTCCCAACATGGCTTTCACCTCTAGGCTTCTCACACCTGGTAAGCAAGTTCCCAGTGATACTTACTGCCACTGCTCAGGGTGTTGCCCCAGCCAGACACAACACACTTAGTGCCAGATGACGCACAGGATTTTGGCAGAGAGATGGTAGACACTTTCGAGTTGAGGGTGGCAGCTGACTTCAGTTTAATCAACATGATGTCGTTATCAATGGTATTTGAGTTATAGTTGGGATGTTTGATGATTTTAGCTGCATCAATGAATTGCTCACCACCCTCAAGGGTATCAATGTTGTGTTCTCCCAGACGCACCTGAATTCGGCTGGATGTAAAGATTAGTGATTTTTTTAAAGAGTCCTTCTACAGTTTTATTTCCTTTCCTCCCAATGTGCCAGTCACGTAAATAAACACAAACAGCAGCCCGAATGAGCATTTACTCACACTCGAGACTTTGTATCCTAGATAGCATTGTGCACACTACCTTGCTGCTTTCCGTTCAGAGAATTCCTTGCAAAGTTGTATGTGCTAGTTAGTGTAGACTCACAATTCATTATACACTAAAATACAAGATGTAAGATAGGGCGAACTATCCCTACTAAATAACTGAAGATGAAGTGTTAATTGGTAGAAATTGATTGGCATTTGTCATTTTTTTCCTCTGGTTGTAATTCTCCCAGATTTCAGATACGCAAGGATTCGAGCTTTTGCGATACAAATACAAATACATTGTGCAACGAAGCAGGAGTCAGAAAAAGAGTGTTGCCTGGCTGAAAGGAGTGCAACGTCATGGGAACAGAATTATGTATGCTTGCTTTAAATAGCGTACTTAAAATACAGTGGGTTTTATCCCTACACGTCCCCCTTCCCATTGTTAGAGACGTGTAGCGATTCACAGTCTGAAGACATACTTTATCAACTACTGTTCTTGCTGTCTTTAGTATCTTCTGCTAGGAATATAGCAGTGAGTTCTGGAGCAATACTCCACATAAATGTTCCTTGGTAGATCATAAACTTGTCGGGAAGGAATCAAGCTTAGTATCTGTAATTTATTTTTATTTTTAATTATACATACATATGTGTGTGTGTGTGTGTGTGTGTGTGTGTGTGAATACAGATGCTCACAGAATCCAGAAGAAGGCCTAAGATCCCCTGACACTGGAGTCACATGTGGTGGTGAGCCATCAGATGTGGGTGCTGAGAACTGAACACGGACCCTCTGGAAGAGTAGCAAATGCCCCTAACCACTAAGCCATCTCTGCTGTCCAATGTCTGAATGTTTTAGCCATCCTTCATAACTGCACAATGACACTCTGATGAAGGCACAGGAAAACATGACTTTAGAGCATAGAAACGCGAATTATTGGTCACTTACGAGCTATAGCAGTGAGCTGCTGTAACAACCCACTGTGAATTGATGAGGGAACCACCGCATGAGTGGTAGCCAACATTCAGGGACACCTGGTAGGGGAGAGAATTCTTCTTACAGGTGTAACCGCCAACAATCTTGTCGTCATCATCATCATTAAGCACGGGGAGAGCAACTGAGAAGAAAGACGGATGTGCTTGTGAATAGAGCCACCACGGAATGTCTGCTTTGCCATGGTTTTGTCTGCTTCTCTCATGTGAACAAGAAGCGGTGGCTCTACTTGAGGGGCCACTTTAAAGCAGGGCCCTGCAAGCCCTGCTTGGGAAGTCATGTAAGTGGACAGCTATGCAATATTCTTGACTGCTGGCGAGTTGTTGGCATGGCATGCCCCATCTCCATAAGGAAACGAAGAAAGCTTAAGGAGCAACCTGAGTGCCTTCTTGTTTAGGGAAAAAAGTGATTATTCAATGTTTCTACTCTCCCGATGTTTCATTTTGCTTGCCACCTAAATTTTTATAAGCCATTTTGCCAAATATCCCAAGAATCCCTTTCCTAACCTTTCTGCTTATGCCAACAACCTTTGCAACGTGTGCTTCTGCATTGTGTAGTAGGATCCACTCTTGTCAAGATTTCTTACAGTTATAGAGGCTTCCATTACTTTTATGAGCTGAGATACTTTATTTATTAGCTAAAGTATTTCCAGGAGAATTGACAGATACTTATAATTTAAACCACAGAGTTTGGGAAACCCTAGTATTACATTTCAGTGCTAAAATTTTTAGTGGCGTCCATGCATTTTGTTCCACATCTATAATTCCCAGTGTCTTGGAGGCTGAGGCAGAATGATAGCAGGCTTAAGGCCTGCCTAGTATACAGCATGTGCTCAAAGGTAACCTGAACAGTGTAGCAAGATTCGGTATGAAAATTGAAAAAAAATAGAGGGATATATATGTATATTGCATTGTAGCTGGTGAATATTTTACTGTTATGTACTAAGCCTTGGGTTTAATACAAAATTCCATCCTTGCCATGTGGAAGATTAATAAATTGCTAACACTAACATAGAAGTGATCATGTCCCTGTGCTTAATCATTTGAATGGCATATGGAATCACATTAGAGAGAATTTATTAGTAAATATGAGAGCACTGTAGTCCACAAGTTTCTTTCCATGAAAAATAAAATATGATTTCCTATATTGATCCCTAGACCAAATAATCACCCTTTCAGTGTTCAGGAAACTCAGGCTTGGTATTTACCCCCTCTTCAAGGAGCACTTTTTCATTTTTAATTATGTGGGGAGAGTCTTGTGTATGTGAATGCAAGTGCCCAAGGTAGCCAGGAGATTCCCCTCCCCTTCCTTGAGATGGTGTTATGGATAGTTGTGAACTACCTGACTTGGATAACAGAAACTGAACTCAGGTTCTCTGGAAGAGTGTTGTGTGTTCCTAAAGAGTGAGCCATCTCTCCAGCCCCAGATCCCTGTTACTAATCTCAGCATTCCAGAGAGGTCAATACCAATACTTCCTTTGTTATGGAGTCTCCTTGCCTTTATCCCCTACCATGAACTCTACCTGGAAGTTCAAGACAGTCTACTTACTTCTGCTGTCTATGCTGAAACATGGTCTTTCAATTCAACCAAGCTTTAATTATCCATAAATACACCCACTACACAATGTTGTTCCAACATTTTAAGTCTCCTATACACAAAGTACTAGTTTAGGTGCAGGATTAATTCTTACTGATTTGTTCATTAAAGGGACTTACCAGCAGCTCCAAGCAAGGCAAAGAAGATTAAGGTCTTCATGGCTGCTCACTGTGTCTGGAGCAGTAAATAGCATGATGAAGGCTTTTCTCCAGAGCTATTTATACCCCAGGGCTTTTGTTAATGCCCATCCCACAGGTTCCAGGAAAGATGTGCATTGGAAACTCAGAGATCTAAATTTAGAATCCAGTTATCCAAACACCAACCCTTTCCTTCCAAAGGTTATGGGAATGGAAGAAATAAACTCACCTGGTAGGAGCTGTTCCCCACAGTAGGAAAATGAGTTGGAGTAAGGCAAGGTCACAAGACGAGGTTCAGGTTTTCAGATTCTCAGACAAAAATCTTAGGCACTCTGACATTTCAGATGTGAATGTTTTTCTTTTTTCTTTTTCACTGTGAAATGCAATTCTTTAATTTACAAATCCTTTCACCAATGCCTTTTTGGTGTTTTTAGCTTGATAACACAAAACGTACTCCTATAAGTCAGACATGACATCTAGGATAAGAGGAAAACAGAGACAAAGAAAGAATTCTTAGGAATTAAAATGATGATGGAAATAAAACATATTGGACATGTCAACAATCAATAAGAAATGAAAGTTGAGAAAATGTTTAAGATACAAGATTAAAACTTTTAAAAAATACGAGAAAAAAGAGAAATAGAAAATTGGTTTTGAAGAATAATGAGCCAAAACTAAAACCACAAATAGAAGCAAGCCAAAATAAATGATGAAATTTACATTGAAATCTCAAAGCATTTCTTAGAATTCATAGGCATATGTTTTGAATTTTGCTGGGGTTACCAAGTGGCATGCATCAGTTAGAACAACTAATTGAATCTTTTAGAACAACAAGAAGGAATGCAAAAAACAGAAGCCTATAGAGAGTAAGACAGAGATCAGATATATGTGCTCAAGAATTGCTGTGGATTTAGCAACATTAATGACTGGAAGACAATATAGCTGTCAAAAGTGAAAAAGTACCACTTCTAACCTGAAATGTTAAACATAGAGTATGTATCAATTGAGGATAAAGAGCTGAGAGATGTGTGGTATTTTTCTTGTATAATATTAATGCGCAATTAGTGAGAAAAACTCCACCCAGTAGGTTTAGTTGTTCCCGAACCTTTCACATTTCCATAATGGGAACTGAGCTCCTAACATATGAATCCCTGGTGACAAATACAAACCACCCAAATCACAGTCTAAAGGTAAGGTGTCATTGACTCAGCAAGGGAAGCCTTACACTCTCTGAGGAGTGGATGGAAATGGGGTCGGGGGGGGGGATGGAGTAGCAGGAGAAGGGGAGGGAGTGGGAACTGGGATTTGTATGTAAAGTGAGACAAGATTATTTTTAAAATAAAAAAAGATTAAAGAAGAAAAAAAATCTTACCCTCAAATTTTACTCGTGTACTAGCTGACAGTTGGTATTAGCACTGCTGCATAGTAACCAAACACAATAAATGTCATTGTCAAGTTTCTTCCCCCCATTCCTGTAATTGCTTTTTGAACAATAGAATTGAAGTAACTATCTTAGAATTGAAGTAACTATCTTTCTATCAGCTATTGGAAGTTTTGAGCTAAGTGAGGTGAGGGATATGCGGACATTTTTCCTAAGGGCTCACTGGAACCCTGACCTTTCATGCGCCACCGTCTTATCTTGTGGTCACTCGTAGTGTGTACCTTCTCCTAAGGTCATTCTAGCCTTCTGCATCTGAATTAAGCTTCCATTGTTAGTGAGGAAGACCACCCCCTTTCTCAAGGGAAGAAAAATTCTCCTTATTTGGAATTCTGATAAATAAGACTGATAAAATTGAAGATGAGAACTGGTGTGTCCATCTAGAGCTCATTCTGTGTCTGGGGTCTAGTGGTCTCCTTATTTGCTCTTCCACAACCCATGGTTTCGGTTATCACAGCCAGCCATGAACAAAAATAAGTGAGAAGGCCTGGACAACCTATGGGGCCCTGAGCTGTGGATCAGTGTCTATCCCTGGTATACAAACTGTCTTCGTGTGCCTATAGCACAAAGAGAGATGCTCTCTCAGCCTGGACTCTTAGGGGAGTGCCTGGACCCTACCAAGAGTAAAATGACAGACTCTAGATATCCCCTATGTGGAAGGATTTGGCAATAGGGTGGGAGGGAGGGGGGGAAGGGGAGTGCGGGAGGATGGGAGGGAGAGGGAACTGGGATTGACATGTAAAACAAGCTATTTAAAATTAAAATAAAAAATGATAAAAAATAACATTTTAGAAATGAATAAATACGTTGCTAGAAGTGTGTCACAGCGTATCGCTCTATTTCTTCTATTTTATTGTTCTACATTTTTGCTCATTGTTTTCAGTCTCTTAGTGTTCCTTCTTTGTAAACTAAACTTTATCTTAATGATGTATAGTAAAAGTGATATACATATGTACATGTGCATATATATGACTTGAATTATCTGTAGTTTTGGGTATTCACTGGGTATCTTAAAATATCTTACTCATAGATAAGGGAAGGGCATACTGTGTTCTATATTAACTTAGTACTTCTTCTATGAAGAATGATACAACATACCCATTTTAATTCCCAATTTTCATATGGAAACCTAAGGAACCAAGCCTATAAACTGCAAGGCAGGCTCCTGGAAGAATCAGGCAGCACTATATATTAAAAATGAAGAACACAGAATGAATTATCAAGTTAAGTGATTATCAAGGAATTCATGAATTTTTCTAAATGATTGAATTTTTGAAACAGGAATTATCAGAATTAATGGAGTAGCCCATTCCCAAGAGCCAGGCAAACTTTCCTCCTATGCCGTATTGGTAGTTGAATCCTGGGTCTCACTAGTGCTAAACCAGGAAACATAAGTTTACCACTAAGGTAACCTACAAACCTCTATCTACGTTTGTTTAGAGAATGGTCCCACTATGTAACCCTGGATCTGATCTCTATATAGACAAGCTGGCCTGAAACTCATTGCCTGACTTTGTCTCCTAAATGCAGGGACTAAAGGTATGTGCCATCATGCCAATCCCTTAAATGCTTTAAAAAGTTTAAGATGGTTTTATTAAATTGTCGAGGTTAGATTCAAACTCACAGTCCATTGGCTTGCTCCTCCAGGTTGGGTGGGATTAGAGGTGTGTACTATCATGTGTGATTAGAGGTAATCTTCATACAAAGTAATTTTCTAGCTAAAGACAGTGGTGAGATTCTCTACCCATCCAAAATATTAACTCATGCACCAGTGTGTTATTTCTGTTTAGGAAAATTACCATTCTTGGGTGAGTTGCTTTCACATTTTGCTGATAGTAAAACAACTTAGTTGGGAATGACTAATTTTGATTACCGATGTGATAGGATTTGGAATTGTCTAGGGACTTGAAAGGGGTCCACACTCCTTGCTCTATGTATGGGGACATTTCCAGAGATGATTAACTGAGGGCCAATTTCCCACTTGAATGTATGCGGCTCCATTTCTGGGTTGGAGGCCCAAGCTGAGTAAAAGGTGGTTAGGAAATGAGAAAATCAGTGTAGTGCCTGAATTCTCCTCTCTGCTTCCGAGCTTGCAGTGACATAAATGGCTCTGCCCTGTCACATACCCCCCACATGATGAAAAGAACCTTCTAAACCATGAGCCATTGAATTTTTTCCTCTCAATTTATCTATGTCTGATACTTTGCTCACTGTGACAAAGTAATATATTAGTGAAGGACAGATTCTCAGCCTTCACACTGTTGACATTGGGGGCCCCTGAAGTCTTTGTTATATAAAACTATCCTGTGCTCCACCGCAGGATGCTTATCAGCATCTTAAGGTTCAAAGAGCACTCACTTCCTCTTTCTTACAGTTGTGACAACCAAAGCCAAATTCCTGTGTCCTCTCTAAGCAAAATTGTCCCCACTTTAGAATTTCAGATAAATGGGAGGAAACAAAAAAAAGATTTTGCATCCAAGGCTATTGTCAAAGAAAAGACCTTAAATGTTGGGCCAATACAGATACTCAAAACTCACTGATTAAATGGATAGAAAGCTGCCATTAATTGATCCCAAGAGTCACAAAATATTAAAAAGCAAGGGAAGCAACAGTGCCCAGAATTAGGGGCATCTTCTCACACTCCTCAGTGATCTGCTGCTGATTCCTATGACGGTGCTGGAAGCTGTGCATTCCACATCACACTCAGAACTTCCCTAGACTCTCATCTGAGACCTGGGTCTATAGCTACAATGAACTTCTTAAAATCATTGGATCACGTACTGCTGTGTCCCACAGGGCTCCATCTTGCCTGGGCATTATCACGTTCACTCCTTTTGAGAGGGAACGAATGAAGACTGCCAGGCAGGAGTGTAAGGGTTATAGGTAGATCTATGATGATTTTCACAGCCTCCTCCCGCCAAAAAGCAAGACAACAGAACATGGTCCTGCTTAAATGGTCTGAGAATTATTTAGTCATCAAAAAGTCGTAGTGGGCATGTAGGAAAGTATCAAGTACTGATCTCAGGCCTTTAGTCACTCTAGGAACTTGTCTACATCTATGTGCAGGCAGACCACTAAGTATGGTGGCTAAACACGGTTACATTTTGAGAGCTGAATAGACTCCTTCTCTTTTTTTAAAAAATGATTTGTAACAGTTTGTATATGTGTGCATCTGAGTGTGTCTGTGAATTTGAGTGCAGTGCCCATAGTGGGCAGAAGGGGGTGTTGAGTCTCCTAGAGCTGGAGTTAAAAGCATTTGTGTACCACAGGATGTGGGTTCTAGGAACCTCCCTTGGGTCCTCTATAAGAACAGTATGTGTTTTAATATCTGAGCCATCTTTCCAGCACCCTAGACTTCATTTTTGTTATATTTTTGGTTGTGAGCCTAGCCTTTAAAGGCTGAGCCATGTCCAGACTTCATTTTTCTTAATCTCTTCCTGAAAAATAATATTGTCCTTCTGTGTGTTGGTGGTGTTTTATCTGATGGACATTAAAATGAATGGTCACTTTTAAAGGAAAGGATCCTGTTCATACTATCTAAGTTCAAGCTGAAGACTAATAATGATGAGCATACAATACTTGAAATACCATACCTAGTATAGGATGTTAGGTCCAGAAAATGGCAAGCTCTAGACCAATGATGGTGGCTTCTGTGATGGC